CTGGGGGTGCTGCTGCTGCTGCTGCTGTGAGGGGTTTTCCGCTTCCAACTTTAGCAGCATGTCAAGTTTGTCAGTATGGCTTCCGACAACAGCTGCCGTTACTCTTGGCCCTGACCACCACTTCACTCCACACACACTTCTCCACCGTCTGTGAGAGCACTCTGTGCTGCAAAAAGTTTCTGGTAAATTTCATGCGTTAAGCCTTTTGACAGCTGCACCAATTTCAAGTATTTTTCTTAATTTTTCCCAATAAATTTTTGCTCTTTGCTTTTTGCGGTGAAAAGTTGAAAGTGGCCACAGCGTAAGGCTGTAGATGGTTTTCTCTCTCTCGCAAAACTTTGGTTTAATGCTTGCGCATTTTATGAACCTGGTGGCAGTGGCAGTGTGCAAGTGGCGCCACGCCTCCAGCTTGGACGTGACGACTTCCCACAGAGAGCTCTAGCTGGCAGCAGCAACAACTATTTTGCACTTAGTCGCAGTTGAAGCATAAAATTGATTTTTAATTGGAAATTGTTTGCATATTTTGCATTGGTCCACCACCTGATGAAAGTGAGCCAAAGTGCATGTGAGAATTTAGCCCAAAAATGTTAGCAAAAATGAACCAGGAAATGTCCTCGACCATGCAGATACCTGGCTGCTGCATGTGCTTGTAAATTCGACATGTGCTTGAGGGAATATTCGATACATCTTAAATGCATTTCCATATGCTGCAGAGAGTCTGCTGGGAACTCTCTCCCATCTGTCCAAAATGCGAGAAATATGGAGCATACCCTCGGTTGCATTCTACAAGTACCGGGGGTATTAAACACACAGTTACTAACCTCAAGTGAAAATAGCCGGACTTGGAAGTGTACTACAGTGTTTGGCCTGCACTGGAGGGCCAGGCAAGGCAAGGCAAGGCAAGGCTTTAGTTCGATTGAAAGACCTTAGGAATCGCATAAAAACAACACCCAGATGACAGGAAATTGAGTCCTCTCACCCAATTCATGTTTCGTTTAGGGTAGGGGGCTGTGGGGGTGGTCCATTAAAATTGTAAATCAAACAGCCACAACGCAAACACACTGCTCGCATCAAGAGAAGGGCAAAATGCCGGGGGAGGTGGAGCGGGGGGGCAGGACAACATGTTGAACTAGGTCAGAGACCAACCACATAGCCGAAACGCGGTCGGAATATTCGCTGCGGTTGCACTTGCCTCCGTCAAGCATGCGCCGTGTGTGCCATGCCGCATGCCCGAGGCGCTGGCTGCCTGCCCCTTGCGGCGAATTCAGACTGTGTGACTGTCACTGTGGCAGAGGGCTATCAAAAAACCATTGTTGTTGGGTGTTTTGTGGCAGTGTTCTACAGTTTTCCCTTTTTTGTATATCAATTGCATTTTATTTGATGGCCTTTTATTCGTTCATTTTGAAATTTTCGTATTTACCCCGGCGCCCCCAGTGCACCACCCCACCCCGCAGTGCATCGCGTGTCCACAGGCCCCGGGGCTAATGATGCCACTTGCCAGCGGCAGCAGTTACAAAGCAGGCAACCTGCCATGCCTCTCTGGCATTTGTCGTGTCGTGTCCTGGCACTGCCAAAAACCACAAAGACAAAATAAGTATGAGTCCCACACTATGCTTTCAAATTTCGACTACAAGATGCCCCTTCTACGATAACTATAGCCTAGGGAAACAAATTCTAATCTGCTGCTTTGTTGCTTTACTCTGGTTTAAGGCATATTTAATCTTCGTGACAGCAATAAAAATATAAGAAATATATAGAAATATATAAAAATATATAGAAATATATAAAAATATCTGTACATTTTTCTGTGCATCACGTTCCCTTTCACAGAGCCAATATACCCTTTTGTTTCTGCCATCGAATGCAGGGTACATAAATGGGCTGGCTCATGCTGCGACCGCCCATCTCATGTCCTTTGTCGAGCCATGTCTTTAGTCATAACCAAAGCGGAGGATCCGGATACCCACGCTGTCGTTGTTGTTTTTCGGTGGTGGGTCATGTGCATGTAATTATTTTTAGCAAAAATATGTGAATGCAAATATTGTAGGCCTCATTCTCAGGGCAGTGTGCATATTTTATGCACTTTTGCTTTTCGCCTGACAGCAAAATTTATTTGACCGACTTATTTTCCATGTTTTTTTCCTTTCTCTGTTGTTCTGCCCGCATCCAACCCAAGCCACCCCATTTTTGAGCTTAACGAGAACAGCGGCGTTGACAACACAACACAGCGGCAGGCATATTGCTCTTGAGAGTTACAGTCATACAAAAATATCCAACAGTTTAAAAAAAACTTTTAATTACATTTCGAGCAGTAGCAGCAGCAGCAGCACAGTCAAACAGTCACTCACGCCAAATAACGGGTCACAATAATAAAATAAAATACAAATTAAATTACATATGCAAATTTTGTTTGGCGGAAGGCGCGCAAATGAGCAAACTTAATGGCCAACAAATCTCAATCGAAGACGCGACCCAAAAAGGAAAAGTGAAAATATTTGCTCAACAGCAGCAGCAGCAGCGGCAGCGACTTCTTATGCTTGGGATAAGCCAAAATATCCCAGACGCATGTACATATGTATATTTATGTATGCGTATACGTAACGTTGAGACGCTGCAGGAGCTGAGAACTGGCACACGGCTAATGATAATTATCAAGCCAGCACACACACACACACACGCCATGCCTCATAATAAATATTTGAAAATATTTATGCGTAATTTTATTTTTCAATTTTAAGGCAAATGTGTGAAGAGCGTGTGGTGGGTGCGCTTCAGCTTTGTATACCCAGTACTTCCAAGAGTATAAAGGGTATGCTGTCACTGCGGCAAGATCTAAATATTCTACATCAGCATCAATAAATAAACAAATAAAAATAGTAAATAAAATAAATAAACAAATAAAAAAAGTAAATAAAAAAAATAAACAAATACAAATAAATAATGATATATTTAGCTTTTCTATGGTATAATCTTCAACCGCTTTCAGCCCAAAGCGATCCACCCGGTATACGGTATCTTTTAGCCAGAACCTCCCACATGTACTTGCCTGGTTATATGGTCGAGGTGGTGGTGGGGGGAAAAAGGGTTCGCACCATTCTTGGGTAACTTTTAGAGACGCACTTTCGCGCCTTTTGGCAACTTTTGCGTTTTCATTATTTTATTTAATTAGGTAAATGTATGCAGAGGCAGCAGCCAACACGTTCGAGCACGAGTGTCAGTATGTGGATGCGGGGTGGGGGGAGGCGCAACATATGCTTTTGTAATTACAATTACTTTTAATAATGTTGCCAGCCTGTAAATAGGCATCCCGGGTTTCTGCTCATTTTCGTTCAAGAATTTCGTGCTCAAAAAGCTAAGCTTGAAAATTGGCTTTTATGGATAAAGTACAATTTTGGTTTATAAGTTTGCAAAGAGGCGCATTAGAGAGGGTAAGGAAAAATTTGTACAACATTTTTGAATCTACAGTTAAGCCTCCGCTATAGATTGAGATTTTTTAGGGGCCAGTTGGACCTAAAGTTTCTCTCTGTCACTTTCTGAGATCTGGCCGACAGAGGTGCAACGAAGTACATACATATGTACATGTGTCGTTATCAAAAAGGTTTTATCAAAAGTGCTGGTATTTATTAAATAATAAAATCATTATGATAAATAAAGTATACGCCATGTCCGAGTCCGAATGAGCATGGATTTTAACCGAAACATTTCCTTTTTCTTTACATAGATACATACATATGTATGTACATACATACATGTATGGTACACTTAACTACCTCCTTTTGTCTAAAAGACTGTAAACTTACATGTAGAGCTCCCATAATTGTTATGTAGACACCATGTACATGTGTATGTAAATTACGTTAACATGTAAAGTAGATATGATGTAATTAACATGTCGACGCAATGTAAAATGTAGATACCATGTAAGTACAAAATGCTGATGTATGTAAAGTCTACATTGTAGACACACAGATGTTTCCGCCATTTGCAATTCGGGGGAATTAAATAAATTGTTACCATGATTCAATAAAATAAATAAATAAATAATAAATAAATAAAAAAATAATAAATAAATAAAATAAACTATTGAATTGAAAACAGATTAAGCATTATACATACATATGTATGTGTGTACATACATACATATGTATGTACATATAAGTTATAGGAATAAAATATCGCTCTTTTTTTGTAATACTTTTTTGCATGTTTATTAATATTTTTTATTGATTTTTGTATTTTTATACAATGTTTGTTTTTGTTTGTTGTTGTTGTTTAATACATAATTATTCTCCCGCATATACCGCATTTGGTGATACTCTTTTAATGCTCCCGCAAAATCTATAATATGTGTGTGTGTGTGTTTCAACCGCTCCGTACATAATACATAATATATATATATATAGTAGGTATATAAGAATAGCTATACAATTAAGGATAGAAAAAGTGTTCTGTTCTGTTCTGACTTCTGTTAGGCTTACAAATTAGATTGATGTCTTGCAGCAGTTAAATAAAAACAAATTATAGTTATGTCATAGATAAAGTGGATAGGTAGATAGATACATATATAGATAAAGGCATTAAATAGTTACAAATGAAAGTAAGTAGTAGTAAGTTTAATAGTTATGGGGTAAACATATATCGTACAATTTGAAATCACTTTGAGAGCAGCCAAGCCAAAAGTCTCTGCACAAATAAAAAAAAACCAACCCACGCAACCAAAAGATACCTTGAGCTTGCGACTAAAACCAAAAATCCTAAGATCCAAAGATCAAAGGCCAATTTGGAAAAAAACAAACACAAAAAAAAAGCTATTCCCATCACCCTACGTAGCACCACCCCCTTGATAACTCATCTCCAATATCTCAAGCTAGAAAATACTATGCTCATTTATGTATTATGCTATTGCACCACGGGCGGGGTGGGGGGTTTAATATCAATTTCAGCCAATCTTGAGCTATTCAGTTATATACCCATCTGGTTACTGGTCTGGTCAGGTCTGATTTTTCCAGCCTTTACTTTCTGATTGCTGTTTGATTATTTACTAGGCGAGTATGCTGCCGCTTTATAGAAAATATTTTATACAATTTTATCAATTTCAATTTCATGAATTTCTGTTTTGTCAATTTCCTTCCCATATGCATAAAATATGTAATGTAATGTAATGTATCTTGTATCTTTTGAGTAGGCTAGTGGGAAAAAGCGTCTATGTATACATATGTTTATGTATATGCCATATGTTTGTGTGTTGCGTGTGTGTTTTGTGTATATACATCAAAATATTTGTTTAATTTACGCGTACTTGGCATATGTATAGATCTTTCAGTATGTATAGATTTTTGTAAAGAACAGAAATTTCAGATACTTTCACCGCAACACAACAGAAAAGAATATCAATCAATCAGGAGGTACCCTAGTACTAGCACTGTCGGACCTTTCAATATCTCTTTCCCCCCACTCTATCTCTCATCTATCCTTTCTCAGCCGATCTCTTCGCAGATTCCTCTATATATCACTTTCCAGGGGGCTGGGGGGGTTGGGTTGGGTTGCAAACACATACATATGTAAGCAGTAGAGCCGCACGCACGCACGCACGCACACAAAGCCTTAAGTCTAGAATTTTACAATGTTTCATTGTTGCTTTTTTGTTTCTGCTATTTGTGTTGAATATGTGTGTTTGTTGTTGTTGTTGTTCGCTTCAATGTCCGCCGCATGACTAATTTGGGGATGAATGGATGCTGGACGCTGGACGCTTGGACGCTCGTGTGTGGACGCTCAACGCACTCGCGAGGTGGGTCTGTAAGTGGACAAAGATTAGCATGACTCCAACTAGCATATATATCACGTACATTACTCACCTGGGCGATGGGGCTACACCTGACGCCTGACGCTTTGGTGTATTGGGCGCCGTTACTGCCACTCGATTGGTGGGCGTGCGCGACCTTCCTGTTGCTGGGGCAGGCGATGTGGGTGTGGGTGTGGGTGTGCACACCAGACTATAACGCTTCGGTTGCACAATGCGACTGGGCGATCGTGTGCTGCTGCCGCTGCTTGGCTTGCCGGCATCCTGCTGGGCGCTGCTTAGTCTATTTAAACGCGGGGAGGACAAAAGAGACAGAGTTTTGTTGTGGCTTTTAGTGACAGTCTTGGCGGGTGACGGACTGGCCACCACAGTGGCGCCTGTGCGCGTCGATGTGGGCGTAGAACTTCTGTATATATCAAACGTAAACATCATGCAAAAAAATTAAGAAATAAAAATTTAGAACAGATAAATAAATAAATAAATAAAGAAATTTTCAAAGTTCCTTGTGCCTTGATTACTAACCTGCCCGCTGGATAGCTAACTGGTCGCGGTATCCTTGATCGAGGCGCCGAATTGCAGCCCGTCGAATTGGTCGATGTGGGCGTGGAGCCGCCACTCTTGGTCGCCGCCTCACAGGCCAGCTCCTTGAGCATGCTCGAGTCTTTGCTCATCAGTTCCCATTGTATCTGCAGCCGCTTGAAGCGATTGCTCTCGATCTTTCGCTGCTCCAGCACATCCAGCGTTTCGCGTCGCTGCATTGCTGCCGCCATGGAAATGTTGGGCGAATTGGGCGGCGTTGAGAAGCGCTTGGCATCGCCTGTGATGGCCGCGGCCGTCACGGTGGCGGCGGCAGCCGCCTCATCGGTGAACGACACCTTCTTCTGTTGGCTGAGCACGCGACTCACCTCCTTCTTGAGCGCTGCCGCATCGTATTGCACACCCTCGCCGGATGTCTCCAGTATGGAGGCAATTTCCGCATAATACTTCAGTTCGGAGCGCGGCAGGCTGGCCAGAAAGTTCTCGGCTCGTGCCCGTGCGTCCAGATCCTTGCGCGAAAGGCGCTGCTTCACCGCCGGCTCCTGTGCCTGCTGCTGCTGCTGCTGCTGGCTATGCTCCTCCTCCTCAAACACATCGGCCAGCAGCTCATCGGTGGAGCCCAAAGTGTAGTTGTAGGGCGGCTCCTGCAGACTGCGTCGCTTCTCCAGCTTGGACATCTTCTGCGTCTTCTGTCCGCCCTCGATCATGGAATTGCGCTTGGTGCGTGCCTGCGCCGAGTTCGCCTTGCGCAGTATGCTCCTGGGCATGGGCTGTGGTGGCGCTGTGTGCATCTGCTGCTGCTGCTGCTGCTGCTGCTGCTGGTGCTGCTGATCGTACTGGTAGACATACATTTGCTTGAGCGGATCCGCATCCGCGTCCAGTTCGGAGTCGGTGAGCAGCGTGGAAGAGCCCCGATAGCCAGAGCTGGGCTGTTGACTGGACCCGCCCGAGCTGGAGCCCTCGTCCAGCAGCTGGGTGTGGCCATGGCCCGCCTGCGTCTGCTGGAAGTACTTGGCACAGTCGCAGATGTGTGTGCGATTCCTGCGCAGTGGCGGCGACATACAGAACAGCGGACGCTGGGCGAGATCCGCATCCAGTTGTCGCACCAGTTGCTTCACCTCGGGAATGTGCTGCAGCCGACGGCGATACTCCACCGGCAGTAGGGTGGCCAGCGATTGCCAGTCGGCTATGTGCTTGTAGTCCAGCGTCCTCAGCAGCTCATCCTCGTTGATGCTCTGCCTGCTGCTGCTGCTGTTGCTGTTGCTGCTGCTGCTGTGCGGCTTCTTGGCGGCACCCTCCAGCGTCATCTTGTAGTTGAAGGGCGAGAAGATGACGTCTGGGGTGGCGCTTGCGGTCTTCACAAAGCCCAAATCGGGCAGTGCATAGTTCGGATAGATCACATAGATGGGCGCCTGCCGCTGCTCGCCGAGATTGTTCAGCTTCTCCAGGAAGGAGGGCGGCACACATCGGTATCTCTCGCTCAGGCTGCTGCGCGTGGTGCTCAACGAACCGCAGGACGTCTGCATGGAGCGTGTTATCATCTCCGAACTGGACGCACAGGACAGGGGACGTGCGCTGGCAGCCTCTGCGCCACGGCGCGGCACCTGCGTCAGTTGCTCCTCTGTGCTGGCCTCCGACGACATCTGGCTGGCCGTCGAGGTCTGAGCTGCCGCCAGCTGGTAGAGCTGTGGATTCCGCAACGGCATACTGCGACGACGATGTGCCGGCGAATTGGTGGCCGTCAGGGAGCCCGTGGAACTCGAGCTGGCCGCATCATCGTAGAATACGGCATCGGCTCGTGCCCGCAGCTGTCGCTGCTTCGGAGGCGTCTGCTGATCCGCGTAGTGTCCGCCCTCCTCCTCCATTTCCTCCTCGTCGTCGTCGTCGTGGCGACTGACCGCCGAACCCTTGCCCGAGTCGTTCATGCTCTTCTTGCGCAGCCGCTGCTCCAGGGAGCCGCTGCTCGAGCTGGCCGCATCGCTGGATGGCCAACAGCCCGAGGAGACATCCATGCAGGTATGGGCGCTGGCCTGGGCGAGCAGCGGCTCCTCGTGTCCGCTGCTGGTGCTCTTCTGTTTGATGAAGAGCTTGACTAGATTGAAGGCCGGCGGATTGGAGGAGTTGCCCGACGAGACGGAGCCAGAGCAAAAGTTCTGACTCTCGTGCGAGCAACTGCAGCGATGATGCTTATGACGATGCGAGTGCTGTTGCTGCTGATGGGATGTGGGTGTGGGTGTGGTCTGCTGCTGCTGTTGCTGCTGTTGCTGCTGCAAATCTGCCTGTTGTTGCAGTCTCTCGGAGATGGAAACGCTTATGGATATGGGCATCTGGCACATGGGCAGCAGATTTCTCGAACGCGACTTGCATGACTCCATTGTCGAGGTGCTGATGGCCTGGGATACATTCAAAGGAGCAGCTCCCTGCTCCACACGCTGCTGTTGTTGCTGTTGCTGCTGTTGCTGTTGCTGCTGCTGTTGTGTCATTATTGGCATTGCCTCTTCGCTGTGTAGATTCGGCAGACTGCTGCTCTTCCGCACGCTGCACTGCGGCAGATGTCGTGTGATGGTAATGGTCTCCGTGTTGTTGTTGCCCGACGGATATCTGCGTGCGGGCGAAACAAGAAATAACGAGCGTCTTTAGACCCCAGACACATCGAACGTATTGCGATTACATTGGTGATTTTGTTGTTGTTGGCGGTATAAAGGATTACAGGTAGGTGGAATTTGGTCTCTGCTGGAGGTCGGTCTGTCTACCTGCCTTCCCAGGCCATGCCTGGCGTCTATCTCTTGCTGGTTTATTTGCATAATATTTTTGGGTATTTTCCTAGAGCTCTAATCTGTTTATGAATGAGTTTTTCGCGGCTGTAATTGGGTTTCCTTTAGGATTAACTTTTATGCCTGAGCCAGGCTGCAGCCCAAAGGCAACATATGCCAAAAAATACCCTACGAAAATGGAAATCTCCCCCAGCTTGGGGCATTCCGCTAGCCAGCCAGCCAAATGAAACTAAATTAAACTCAATTGATGTGACCCCCAGAGGGGGTCCGGCAAAACACACACATCCGCCCTGTCGTGCATGATGATTGCTGCGGGAAGCCTTGGATCTCTGTCTCTTTCTCTCTGTCTCTCTAGCAGAAACCAAATCAGGAGTGTGTTGTGTTGTGTGTGTGTGTTTGTGTGTGTGTGAACCTACCGCTGCAGTTTTGCCGCCGCTGCAGACGCTGCTGCTGCTGTGGCTGCTGTGCCAGTGGCTTTTGGCGACATGTTTGGGCACAGCGGATGGAATGCCTGGGCCGAGCGTGACATGGATACCTCCAGGGCCTTGTTGCGCTTCACAATATCCTCCAGATTGCTGTGCAAATTAATGCAGTTCTGTTTGCCTCTCAGCGCCATGTCATTGGGTTCTGCCAAATTGTTTAGATTTTTTAGCTGGATTTATCGCATGCGATTCGAGCGATCTACTCACCATAGAAACTCTCGTCCGAGTAGAGGACACTGCCCTCAAAGGCTATGGTGTAGTTGTCCTTGTTGCAGGTGACTATTAACTCGCCCTCATCCGGATACGCGTCCATGTCCAGCGAGTCCACGGAGATGTGCGACTCGCGGACGGGCGAGAAGAGCAGCTCGGACTTGCAGAAGGAATTGTCGATCAGTTCATTGGTGGATGTCGTCGATGTCTGCGACATCATGTTCAGTGGCATCATCATCATGTTGTTGCTGTTGCTGCTCTGCTCTAGCAGCTGCTGCTGCTGCTGTTGTTGCTGCTGCTGCTGCTGCTGCAAGTGTTGCTGCTGCTGCTGGAGGAGCAGCGACTGCTGCAGGCGACTATTGGCACCGCCCAAACTCTTGCAGTAGGCCGGCAGTTGCGACAGCAGCGAGTGTATATCCTCCGCGCGAAAGCTCTCCATATCCACCTCGGCCAGATTGGCGTCCAGATTCTTGGCCAGATCCTCGTAATAGATGAGATCCCCCATGGCATTGTAGGAGGCCGACAGGGAGCTGAGGACACTGCGCTGCATGCCGCTGCAGCCATCCCGATAGCCATAGTCCAGGAACCACTGATAATCGGAATTGTCGTGAGTAAAGTCGTGCGACGAGGCCAGCGAGCAGTTGAGATTGTTGCTGCCACCACCACCAATACCACCACCACCACCAGCGTTAGTATCCCGCATACCAGCAGTACCGCCGCCACCACCACCACAAAGCATTCCACCTACCCCAAGTTGCTGCTGCTGCTCACTGCCACTCCTGCCCCCTGGCGTTGTGGCATTGCTGTTGTAGTCCGATTCCGGTGTGGCTGCCATTTTGCCCCACACGTTATTGTTGTTGCTGTTAATGCAACGCTGATTGCCAGCGTAATTCTTATCGTTGTCACAGCACAGCAGACTGATGCTGCTGCTGTCGAGAAAGAGGCTACTGCTGCCACTGCCACTGCCACTGCCGCCGACGCCGCCGCTCACCTGCTCATTCAGTATGATGCTGCGCAGAGCGTTGTTATAGCGATCCAAATTGCTCAGGACAATGGCCACATTCTGCTTGAGGCTCTCCTCGCTCAGTTCCTCGTTAATGGAGTCCTCCTCATCGCTGCCACTGCCACCACCGCCAGCGACTACGCCCAGCGACTGCAATTGCTGCTGCTGGCAGTGTTGCAAATGTTGCTGCTGCAGCAGGCGATCGGTCAGCTGCTGCTGGTAGCGTTTGCCCGCTGTCGTCTGAGTCGCCGTGTTGCCAAAGGGTGAGCCGCAATTGTTGGTGATGGTGGGACTGTTCAGGGGATTCCTGTAGCCGAGCGGGGGGGAATGTGGAGACGATCCTGGGCCAATGTGGGCAGCCGTGTTGCCGTTCTGTTGCTTGCTGTGTGGCAGGGTCTGCTGTTGATAATGTTGCTGCTGTTGCTGTTGCTGCTGCTGCTGTTGCTGTTGGGCTAAGCGTTGAAGCAAATGAGGATGATGCGGAGGCGGTTGGGGATTAGTCTGGTGTATGGGTGAATTCTGGAGCGGTTTCTGCTGAGATGCGGAAATGAAATGCGGTTGCCTGTGATCGTTGTGTGTTGAGAATTCGGTCATGCCACGTCGAAGTTTCAAGTTTCCTGCAAATAGAAACACACACAAAATGATAATTCCAAGTATTAGTAGCGCTCAGATAATCCCCCCAAGAGAGACTTACTCTATCCCATTAACCATTAGCCCTGACACTGAACTTGGCTCAGAGTGCGGCGGCGCAGTCTTCACTCCCAGCTAATGATCTATTCCCAATTTTCATTTGCACCTCCCTCGCATCAAATGTGCCCCACACACACGACACATTTCAGGGCCATAAAACCTGCCAGCCAGAGCCAAAGACAGCGACCATGGGGCATGTTTCAATTAGTTTTTACGATCCCAGGACTAGTCTAGCAAATAAGTATCTGTCGGGGTCTCGTGGCTGTGTGCCCGGCGGAGATGGAGAGGAGCAAAAAGTTGTTAAAATTATTTTTATATATGTCTGAGAAATGTTTACGAGTGCGGAGCGCGGGGGCCACGGGGTGGGGGTGCCGGTAGGCACCAAAACAAAATTCAATACAACAAAATGTCACAAACTTTCAGCTCTCGTTCTCTGTGTCTCTTTGTGACACATGCCACATGCAACTGCAACTTGTCTGTGCCCCAAAGGCAATTAAAGGTTAAACTTTTGAAGGTGCATAAGGAGCAAGTATTGCATGTCCAAAGACGGTAACTTTGCCGCAAGGAAAGGAAAACCTGCACTGCCCTGCTCTGCCATGCCCTGCCATGCCCTCATTTGCCGCATTTCAATCGATTGTCGGCCATTTTATGTTATTTCCATCCACAACTGAATTTACATTTAAAATTAACTCGAAAACTGATCCAATAAACAAAAACGGATCATCAGAAAACCAATGCCCAAAAGCCCAAAAGGGGGAACCTCCCGGCCAGTGCAGACATGAAAGATTATTTCGAAAAGATCTTCCCCGCCAGACAAAAAGGGGGGAAACTTTTCGACAAGTGGCACCAAAGCTGTGCCGTTGCTGCCCCGCCCTACAGTCTCCCTGCCCTCTGCCTACTCCTCTGCTATGCCACATCTTCCCCACCAACAAAAATATGAAATGTCTTTCCATTTCATATTTGGGCCATGCACAAGATTACAGACAAATAAAAAAAATTATTTTAATGCATTTTGTGTGTAGATAGGAGTATGATATACACATATGTATTTATGTATATACGATAATTGTGTAGTCAGTCATACGATGCATGCCGAGAGGGCGGTCGGTCCCTCATAGTGGGGGCAATGGCCATGCCTTGAGCCAGCTGCCGGTGTTCACTTGACTCTCAATTGAACTTAATTGAAATTACAAAAGCCCCCGTCTCGAGTTATCCCGCGTCTTAGTGAACATTGCAGATCAACAATGGCTGACTACGCTTTTTGGAGTTGCAAATATTTGATCAATAAATTGTTGAGGAATCTAAAACATATTTCCATTTAAAATTAAAATTATTTAAACTATTATTTAAATTATAAAATTTAAATTATTATTTAAATTATTTAAATTTTAAGTGGAAATATATTTTAGACATTTAAAATTTCAGTTGTTTAAATTTAAATTTTAAATGGAACCCAAAACAGGACTTCCCTGCCCTTAGGCGAAATATTAAATTTAAATTCAAAATAAATATAAGACTTAAATTATTGTCGCACCTTGGCCTACAATCTGATTAAGGTTCTGATTGTTAATATTGTTATTCAGGTAGTCATTATCATTGGCCATATATCTGTGCTGCATCTGCTGCTGCTGTTGTTGTTGCTGCTGCTGCTGCTGCTGCAATCTTTGCTGCCTCAAATACTGTTGATTGCAGGTCAATCCCGCTGTTGTTGTGCTTTTAGCTGGAACACCCTGATCCCTTAGTTGCTGCTGCAGACGGCGCCGCTGCAGCAATTGCTGCTGCAGCAGTTGCAACTGCTGCTGCTGCATGCGCTGGTAGAAGCGTATCTGCTCCAGTTGCTGCGGTGTCACACCCAAAAGTTGCTGCTGCTGCTGTTGTTGCTGTTGTTGCAGGTGCCGCTGCTGTGGTGCATAGTAGTTCTCCTTGGAGGAGCTGTTGCTGTCACAGCCGCTGCTGGTGCTGCTGCTGTTGCTGGTTGTGGCAGTGGCAACATGTTGCCAGCATGCCGCAGCCGCCGCCGTGGCCGTATTGCCATTGGCATCGCTGTGTGTATTGTTGTTGTTGTTGCTGTTGTTGTTGCCATTGTGGGGGCAATCAATGCCGGCCCTGGAGCAGGCCGCACATCGTTTGGAAATGTCTACGAATCGCATGATGAAGGCTAGCAGGAGCAACAACATTTAGTTGCAAGGCCCGCCCGTATGTTGCCGGTGGATTTATTTCTGGCCTGGACCAACGCAGTGACGTTTCGCTGCTGCTGTTGTTGCCAGGTTCTGCTGCTGTTGCTGCTGCTGTTGCTGCTGCTGCTGCTGTTGATTCTTTTCTTTTTTATTTTTTTGTATTTTTAGTTGTTGGCTTGGATATTTTTTAAGGGTTCAAACTCCATTGATTGGTTACACATTTCGTTGTTTGCTTGCTGCACTTTTCATTTTGATTTCTTTGTAGTTTTTTTTTCCTCCGCTATTTATAAATGTTGTTTTGCCTAAGTTTTCCTCACTCTCTCGCTCTATACGACACATATGTAGATATATAAATTATATATAGATTTACCAAAATGTATGCGCCGCTGTGCTGTACATTTGAAAAAGTTTTTCCCAATTTTTTTTTTTTTTGGGTGTGTTGGGTATAAAAATAATTTACGAGTTTTCTGCAGTCGAGATTTTTATATGGGTTTTTTCTTTGGTAAACTTACGCGCGGAGTTTCAAACGAAGGCAAATGGTCTAAAATTATCTTGTCTAAACACAACAACATTTTGATAATAAACAAAAGCTCCTGGGCCGGACAGCCTGCCACAAAATGTGGTATGTCTGCGAGAATTGGATTTACGGCCGCTGCAGTTTTTGGCCAAACTCAAAAACAAGGCCTGCTAGCAGACAAATGAACTGCATTCGGGCCGCGTTTAGAGGGTCGTTAGGGCCGTTAGCCGTCTGCTGCTAGGACTGCTAATTTATGCGCATAAATTTTCCGGCCAAAAAGGAAATGTTTTTCCCTGCTCTACAGGGCTGCGATTTATCGCCTTGGGTTCTTTGGTGTCAAATGGTGTCTAAATTTAATATTTTTTTCGGCCTGAGCAAAGCGTCGCCAAGTTCATTATTATTATTATTAACTTGACAGGCAGGCAGGCAAACAACTGCGTGAATGTGTCATAATGTTTGCTATTGAAATCTATCTAGGGCGCACATGAGGCACATGAGGCGACTTGCTGCCAAAATCAAAAAAAGAAGATCAAGAAGATCAAGCAGAGCCGAGCCGAGCCGAGCCAGGTGTTCGCTGGTGCCAAATAATAAATATAAGAAAAATATCTGGCATACTTGATGATTGACATCACCACAAAGAGCAGCATCTCAACTATGAGTCTATGAGTGTCTCTGGGGCCAGGGAAACTGCAATTAGATAAAAGTACGACCCAACGATTCGACTAGAAAACTGCATGCAGATAAAAGAAATTCCTGGCTGGGACACGCCCAAAAAGATGGCTTCGTGGTTCAACTTTCAGACAAAGAGCCACCCAGCCATGTGGCTTGGGGCAGGAGTCCGATTCAGAGTCCTGGCATAAATGCGCAATAGTGGGGAAAAATACCCTAATATCGGAAAGAGAAAGTCCCTGCCACACAGCAAAATAACGTGAGCAGGAAGAACGACAGTAAGGAGTGCTCCGGCGCACACCAAGCAAGGACCTGCTGCCCCTGGCAGCTGGCAAGCAGCCAAGGAAAACGAAACCCCTTAGTGCCACCCAACCCCCAGAACCCCACTCAAGATACACTTAAAGAAAAGAAAGGAAAAGAAGACGCAGAAGCAAAGGAAAAGAAAAGGAGACGCAAAAGCGAGGGGAAAAAAAATATTCACGTGGCATTTAAGCATCAACCGATAAGCGGGGCCTGCAACTTGTCCATTGCCACGCTCCAGCTGCCGCTGGCCAGAAGTTCTAGAAACCATAAACGGCACCAACACCAATTCCCATTTCGCATTTGGCATTTCGATTTTGCACGCAACTCTCAATTGGATTTCTCTTTGCACCTTGCCACAAAACAAAAATAAACAGTGCGTGCCGCAAGCGGCAAGAACAGTACAAGTACAGTTTCCCCCCAAAGTACTCCTGCTCCGGGGGCCAGATTCGTTCCATCACATTTTGAACTTATTTGCAGGCTGTTTGTTTAGAGGTGTTTTTCTGCTTTAATTTCTCAAAGGCAGGACGCATCATTTTTCCCATTTTCCAAGTGCAATCTGACGTCAGTGCTGCCTGTTTCTGTGTCTGTGCCTCTGGCTCTCTGGCTCCGTTCTGGCTTTTAGTTCAACGCACTTGTTGGCCTACATTGGTAATGGAAAATGCCTAGAAAACTCTTTGGCCCTCTCGCCAGAGGCGCACGACAGAGCCCACAAATTAAATGCGCCAGCGAAAGAGAAAATGCATCTACAGCGGCATTCGCAGATGCAGTTGCAGTGGCAGTGGCGATGTTGTTTCTATTTTGTTGCTGCAATTGCATTTGCAATTACGAAATCATCAAACAACGCATGTGTGCATATCGATGCGGAAGTCAAAGAAGAAAAGGTCAAAGCTATTTGAAAAGGCTACCCAAAAACAGATGCACAGATGCAGTAGCCCAGTGAGATGCAGTAGCCAAGGAGATGCATTAGCCAAGGAGATGCAGTAGCCAAGGAGATGCAGTAGCCAAGGAGATGCAGTAGCTTTTGGTATGCAAAGATACAATAGGTTATGGTGGGGGGGCAGGTGTGGAGATACATACATCGGCTACAGCAATACAATGATACAGTGAATAATATTAGAAGAACCTTTAGATACAGTAGCTACTGCCACATTCAAAGCTACAGTAGCTGCTGCAAATATGGAAATGCATAGATATATTTTAGCTATTGCGAAGCTAGCTTTGGGCTACAGTAGCTACTACCCAGAGAGGCATCCAGATACAGTAGCTACTACCAAGAGAGGTGTGCACCGTTTTTTTTTTTGTAGCTACTCAAAAGAGATTCATCAAAATATTTACTAGCCTATTTTGAAGGCAGCTTATCAGCATGTCAAATGCTCCGATTTGGCGTGAATAAACCCGTTTGGCATGCCACCTGAGTGTAGCGATAAGATAAGGAAACTTTGTGCAATCATGGCTGGGGGGGAGACTGAACACCACCCACAGAGCCTATGCCAGGAACCAATGCACTGACAACAGATGATCTCATTTCGTACTGCAGAAAACTCGTAAAAAAAAAAGAAGAAAAAAAAAACACTAGGAAACTCTTTTTCTTTTAGTTTAATTTACCCATCCAATTTATAGTATTAGATAATCCGAATATTTGTGGTGCTCAAAGAGCATTCCCTTTGTCGCTGAATTCGCTTCGCTTTGTTCGTTTAAAAACATACACTGAGACACACACACACAGGCACAGGAACAGTCACAGACACAGGGAGTGAGCTGTGAGATACATATACGAATTCTGCACTTGAGATTGTGGCCAATTTGTGGCGTATCTGGCGGATAATTCACTCAGGCACAGAGCCCACGCACAATTAATGCTAGAAGCTGTTTAAGTTGTTGTTGTTATTTTTCTTTTTGTAGCTTTGATTGGTCTAAAGTATCTGCAAGTTTTCACACACCACAGAACGCACAAAACGAGGGGCAATGAGCGCGTAAACAAATTAAACGAAATGAAAATAATATACACATATGTATATGTAGATAGATAGATAGATAGAAGTATATGGAAACTAAAAGGTCTCTTTTTCACAGTCCACACGACGACGACGACGACAACGACGACAATGATGCTCCGCACATTTTCTCAGTTGCACAAGCCCAAGGAGACTGACTGACGGGGAAAAAACGCGAGCGATAGAGCGAGCGAGCAATCGACGACCAGACCGACCACGACGACCACGACGACGACGACGACATCCACGACAACGAAAGCAGCAACAGCAACAGAAACAGCAGCAGTAGCAGCAACAGCAACAAAGCGGCGAGGCAACCGACTACAAAGCGACGAGACTCTCCGGGTCTAACCTTGTGTGTGTGTGGGGGGATAGGGCGCCGCCTCCCTACCCAGTATGTTTGGGTTGTATCAGTGTGTGTGTGGGCACTGGCTGCATGAGTGTTTGTGTGAGCGGAATGAAAAGCGAACGGCAAACGCACGAAGTACGGGTACGGCTATGGGTATGGGTACGGTACGCCGTAGCTAGCTGTAGCTGTAGCCTCGCATCGGAGGAATACATTATACAATGTGCAGCGGGGAATTAACCCCAAAAAGAAATACTCGAGCGACAAGTGAAAACGAGAGCGAACACAAGCGACAAACTTCATGGATGCTTTCGTGGAGGAGCAATTGCAGTGTAAGTGAGTGTGTAAGTGAGTGTGCCTCATGTGGATGCTTAGAGAAGTAGACATGGACATGGACATTATTCAGAGAGTAGTTCGAAGATAACTTCTGGAGTTAGCCAAAGAGCTGCTAGCAGGTACTGCTGATAAAATATGTATATGTACTTCTGCCCAAAGATACTTATTTTATCATAAAAGATAGTTTTCATAAAAGATATTTTTAATAAAAGATACTTTTCATAAAAGATAATTTCCATAAAAGATACTTCCTATAAAATATACTTCTTATAAAAGAAAAAGATAAAAGATACTTTTCATAAAAAATACTTTCCATAAAAGATACTTTCCATACAAGATACTTCCACGGATACTTCTTATAAGAGATAAAGATACTTTCCATAAAATAAACATTTAAGAGGAGATACTTCTACTGGAAGATACTTCCGAAAAAAGATGCTTCTCATAAAAGATAATTTTAATGGAAAATACTTATCCTAAAAGTATTTTTTTAATTTATTTTTTTTTTTGTAATTTCAAGCCACAAAAGATACTTTTTCAGAGGGCAGCAGCGGAGCTGCACGTCATTCAAATAGAGTCAGATAGAATCAAAGAGCTTAGCAAACATCCAGATATTATCATAAATCAAATATTGTATGCATAAGCCAGAGACCATCTGGAAATGAAATCAACTGCAGAATTTGATTTATTCCCCGCGACTAATGAAGCAGCTCAAGTGGAAAAACAAGTGAGTACTCTGTCCAGGCACAAACAAACCATCCCACAAGAGAGAGAGATAGATCATACTGTGGCCCTCTTCGAGTGTGGCAAAAGGGAAAGATCTTCAAGGGCTAGGGGCTTCCGGCAGGATGAGGATCGAGTTGCCATCTTCGAGGGTGCGTTGCGGTGCGGTGCATGTGTGCACGTGCCGCTTGCAACTAAAGCAAACATCTGCCCCGACCTCTTGGCACGCACTGACTGACTGCCACTTGAAACCAAACACCAAAACATAAAATTATATCACAGATATTCGAACATTCGAGGGGGGTGCGCAAGTGCCTCATTAACAATTACAAGCAGACGATCAGCCAGCCAGCAGTCGTTGGAGCGTACTACATTTTTCCAATAAAACTATTAAAAATGCACATAAATTGTACTTCCCTTTTCCCCTTTTTGGGAAATCATTTCGAATACAATGGAGCTGTAGATTAAAATATGCATCAGATGCATCAGATTCCCAGCACAAGGCACCCTATAAATGAGACCCCATAGCTGCGTCCCTACCTTCTTCTAGACTTCCACTCTTGCCAGTAGAAACTCATTCATATATCAGCTGTTTATCCAAGTGCGCTCTACTGAATAAACAACAAACAAAACCAGAGCCAGAGGCAGAGGGAGAAACACACACCAGAGAAATATGAGTTTCAATGAACAACAATTGGGTTGTTTACACGTAGATACGAAAAATATATATCTCACACATATACAGAAAACACTGCCGATTCGTAGCTACTCATAACACATTTTTTGCAAGCTCTAGCTTTTATTTTTTTTTTCAATTAATTATTGTCGGTTTCAGACAGACACAGAGACAGCGACAGAGGGGACAAAGTGTAGGTAGGCGGCGTCGAAGTCTAACTGGCGAACAGGAGCGATCGCAGAGAGAGAGCGACAGCGAAGAGAATAATATATCAGAATAGCGGGCAGAACTCAGGGCATACTTTTAGGTGACGCCACAAAATTCTTCAGCTATTGATTCCGTTTCCCTCTTTGTCTGGACGAGTTTTAATTTAATTTAGTTTTTATTTTTTCCGCACAATTTGCAAATGCAGTCACTGGAAATGACTCATCGTTCGGTGACAGTGCTTGCCAGTGACAGTGCCCCCCCACACTGCTGTTCCAATTGTGGCACCACCGCCAGTCGAACTCGAATTAGCATGAAATCCACCCTGAGGATGGTAGCATGCCTGACCTCCCACATCTTAATAGTCAGCCCGCACACAAAAATAAAAGTTGCCAAAGTAAACAAAAAACACAACAACAAAAATGCACAGAGCTGCGTCGTTTTTTGTTTGTTTTTAGCTTTGCGGTGGGTCCATCTCTAGCTGCGAGAGGTTGCACTTTGTTTGCCTCCTGGGTTAAGAGGCAGCAGCATCCCATGCCCCAGCCCATACCATGCTGCGCGAATATTTCTGCGCATAACCAAAGACGCAATAAAGAGATGACTAGGCAGCGATGGGAGCCAGGGAGTCAGGCTCCTATTTTGGGTGGCTATAAAAAATTTGAAAAATATTATGAATACCGTCAGACATATTCAAAGGTTTCAGGTTACCTTCTCGCTGGTAGTTTATCATTTTGCCCAGGCAACGACAGCAAAATATTATTGAAGAACATTTAATGACATATTTAATTTCCTAACAGGCCGTAATTATGTCAGGGCGGGGGCCCCACTCATGACAAATCTCCAGCGATCCCACAAAGGAGAAACAAAAGGCAAAAGGCAAAGGGTGCCACAGAGGGGCATCACATGTGGCAAACGAGCTAATTAAAGACTGAGCGAGCGAGCGTTGAAATGGAGGACTGTCAGACGCGGGAGAGGCTTCATTTTTCACAGTCAGAGGCGTCGGAGAGGAGCAGGGGGAACACAATAAACATTTCATTTATTTTTGCTAGCAAAAAACTTCTATTACGAGAGCCAATCGGTTTGATCTATACAATATAAAGGATATATCGGCATAAGATACTTTTCTCTTGCCATTGCAGCAACCTAATAAAATGCACAATAACATTTTCCAGCGCATGTAAATACATTCGAAAACATATTGACAATTTCACAATCAGTGCCCCAGAAAAACGGAAAACATATGGTGCGAGGCAATGGAAATGTTGCAACATGGCCTGACAACCGCATAACGGAACGGAACGGAACGACATGTTCCTGCTGTTTTGCCACTGCTGTCCCAGAGCAGACCTTGACGTGCGACAATATGTCAAATGTCAACTGGCATTTGGTCTCAGATCTCCAAATGAGAAATGAATTCGAAAACAAGCCGCAAATACCCAGCATTTTTCATGAAAGTCAACGAAGAAATGGATAAAGTTGCATAAGGCAGCGGACTGGCGTGGCTTGGCGTAGAGTTTTTCCTTTTGCCACAAAGTGAAAGTAGAAATCATGCGTAATTATCGCTCGCCATAAAATGCGGAATAGTCTAGACGCACCATAAGATAAAAACCAATCGATCAAGTGCGCCACAAGCCCCACCGGCTAACAGCAACAACTACAGATAAAACCCGAAGCCTACGCAGCCGCCAACTGCGTGCAACTGTGGCAGCTTGCAATCCACTTCGTTCCGCTTTGCACTGCAACGCCGCAGTCTAGTCCGTCGCTCTGTGGCATCATGTGGCGGTTGTCAATGGCGTTTAACGCTTGTCTCCAACGTACAAATTGGTAAATCTTTCCAATGACATGCCACAGGGAAATAAAATGGAAACACACAACAAAAAATTAACTAATGAGCAACAAATTTTGAATGCTCTATAATATTTTTTTTTTTGGCATAAAATTAAGTTGTTATTTCTATAAGTTCTGTGCTGGATCGGTTGCTAAATAAACTGGCAGCTGAAGTGCAGTTGCATGCAAATAAAATAGGAAAGTCTCACTGGCAGAGAGAGATGAGATTAATATTGGGTATATAATACCGATTCGATCGCAAACAAAATATGATTCATTTTTTTCAGAGTATTTTTCTTTCTTTCTTTTAGTGCCTATCTACAAAATTGTGAATGACATTGAATTTCGTGATTTGAGCAGGGCTAAATGGTACTTTAAATATCAGAGAAGTTATAGTCTCTCAGTTAAATTACAGTCATGGCTTCCTCTGCCTAATATACCCCTGTACTCTATACTCTATTCATAAATACCCTGGCCGAGCTGCCTGCCTGGCTGCCCGACGTTAGATTTCATTAACAAACACCCATACATAAATATGCCTTCAGGCTTTCTTCAATACCATTGAACCTGTTTTACTCATGGCATTGCCTAACGATTTGCCATTTGACAATGCGGAGGACGGAGGACGGAGATAACTGGCCAACAGCCTTGAAATTTATACATACAACAAAAGATATATACAACAAAGTACATATATATACACAAAATTAAGTTTAGCAGTTGCATTCGGCGGCTGTCACTTGCATAATAGCGGCAAAAATAAAAAAAAAACACAAAAAGGGAAATTACCGATGATACAACGTTTTAGCCCATTAGCTATGCATAGATGTTGCATGCAACTCGCGTAATGACTTCAAAGTAAATTCGATTAACTAACTACTCCGTTTAACGACTAACTGCGAAATGGCATAATGCCAGACAGATATAGTATGGAAATATAGCAGCAAAAACAAACCCAACCCCCCCGGTTAAGTCACAACTTACTTAACATGCGAATTTCTCCACTATAGATATGGTTAGAACCTTTGATTTATGCTACATAGAGAGACTGATCGGTCAGCGCTCACACACTTGTGCATCACGTGCCACAACACTCTGCGACGTGACTAAGCAGCCGACAATGCGCGGCGGCGGTGTAACATCGAAGGTATCGTATACCCAATTAGCGTCATACCATACAGCAGCACCTGGTGATCAATGGGGGGAATTCAATGGAATTAATATTACCCCAAGAATAATCGCGTAAGTGCGACTGCAAATTATAGACTTCCGACGCTCGGGGAAATCTCACATGTGTCCGATTGGCAAGCCCCCCCGCCACACCCCAACGCAGAGCTAAAATGAGTTGACTGAACCGATGCAGAGAGACACAGCCACAGCAGCCGGCAGCCCCCCGGACCTGACCTAGACCAAGAATTGCAGGTATATAAATATATATTTATCATTTGTCGTGCATGTTTTTATTTATTATTATTATTGATTATCAAAGTTTAGGCATAAGGGCATAATAGTTGTATGAATAGATAAGATACAGATAATCGCACAATATAGTCTTTAAAATTTCGATCTTAAAAGAAACAAACATAAACATGATTTGTGGGATGTGTGGGATGTGTGGGATGCGTGGGATGTGTATGTCTGATCCCTAGGCGCAATCCCTTGACTGATAAAACAATATGTAACCCGTCTCCGAGGATTTGTGTATGTCCGAGGTGAGGCCATAAAAGTCCTCGATGGTCGATGCCTCAATCTTATCGACCATATCATCATCGAACAGCAGCCACAGGCCGTGACTCTTCACAATGCTGATGTAGTGTCCCCGATTTGGGCCCGAGCCGCAGTGTATGACCACGGCCGTTAGATCGTACAGCCGATCCGGATTGACGGCATCATCGGACGTGTTGAACAGCCGCAATTCGAGCGGAAAGACAACGCGATGCGAGACCTTGATGTGCCGATTGAATTGCTCCATGTACTTGAAACGCTTCAGATGGAGCGCCAATATCATGGGCAGCTTCTTGACGCGCATCCGCTTCTGGGCCTCCTGGTAGCTGCAGCAATTGTCGCACTTGAACTTGTTGTCCGAGCAGAGGGTCTCCGTGTTGCTGAAACAGCGCAGACAGTGGGTGATCGAGGTGTTCTGATCGACATCCACCTGCAGATCGAAAAAGTTCTCATCCTTGCTGCTGACCGTCTCGCAGTTGAGGCAGCGCGTCTCCGATGTGAGTATGCCCTGAAAGATCTCGTGCACCCAGGTGGGCTCCGAATTGGCGCCGTTCGTCTGCACCAGGGGCGTGGTCGTGGCCGTCAGACCACCGCTGGCATCCAGCACACTCGTTGTGGCCGCCGCAGCATTCAGGGAGCCCGTCGAGTTGCTGCTGTTCCCATTGGTCGTCGTCGAATTGGATGTTGAATTTGAGTTGGAATTCGAGTTGGAGGTGGAGCTCGATTTGCTGGCTGTGCTGGTGGCCATTTGTGAGGTGCTGCTGGCACCTGCACCACCGGACTTGCCATTGCCATTGCCGTTGCCGTGAGCGGGGCCCGCATTCCGTTCGGCCAGGATGATCTCGTTGATGTGATTAATCAGAAAGTTGAGAAACTCGTGGGCATCCTGCTGCATATAGTTGTCGAACTCCTCCTTCTCCTTGCGCAGTCGCGTAATGAACTTCTTGGGCGCTATGGAGCCGACCTTCTTCTTCTGGGTGGCAATGCTGTAGAAGAGATCCGCGAGGCAGGAGAGCAGCGTCTCCTTGGGCCGCTTGTTCTTCGCCTTGTACTCGAGCACCTTCTCGCGGAAGGGCTTGCAAAAGTAGAGGGCCTGCAGCACCGAATTGCTGTAGCAGGTGTTGCCAAAGTTCACCAGACCGAAGTAGTGCTCATTGGCCGGAAACAGATCCGAGCCGATCTCCCGCTCCAGCTGCGAGACGTTGGCGCCCATGCCAGCACCAGGGGCTGCCGTGGCACACCGGTACAGAAAACCCCACACTGTGGCAGGCTTTTGCAGTCCCTTCTGCTGTTCGATCGATCTATCGTCCGATTGGATCGTTATTGGATCATTTACGGTATCCCCCCCTCCCTATATATATATATATATTTGTATCTTTCGTTATATATTTTGTTCTGATGGTTGGGGGGGGCAGAGGCGCAAAACACTTTTTTTATACTGTCTGAAAATAAATAATTTTGAAGAGGGGATACACGTGAGTTTGCTTCGCATAACACAAACAACAACAGAAATTAAAAAATACTCTAAGGCTTACTTTGCTTTATTTTTTGGCTATTTTTCCTTTGACTGTATTTATTTACATTCCAAAAAGAAAAGACACTAAAAACAAAGCAAAGTATTTTACAACTAAAATGCGCAAAGGAAAAGCAAATGAAGAATTTAAATCTTCAAAATACATTTTAACTCTTTTTATTTTTTTTGCATCCCCTCTTTGAAAATTATTCATTCAAACAAAGTGTTTTTTACAGTTTTTACAGTTTAAGTTTTGGTTCAGATTTTATGTGGACAAAATTTTATAAATAGAATCAAAGGTCGAATTGTTCAAGTAAATGTTAATAATATTCCAATTTTGGTTAGTTCGGATGGCAGAAGCATTTTATATTTTTACTTTTTAAGTTTATGAAATTTCGAAATTAAAAAAAACGTTTTTTTATAAAGAAAATAGATTTTTTTTTACAATAATAAACATAAGATATTGTTGGGGTCAGTCAGAGCTTTTAGAAAATAAATATACATAAATCCATAAGCCTGTGGACACAGCCTAAAGTGATTCTATATTAATGTTCGCTCACGGCACTGCCCACTGTACCCGCAACAGTGTTACATATGCGTCGTACACACAGGGAAGCACAGCAGCCAGCCTATGCTGTACCGTTCTTTTCGGCTCTTTATCTCCCACCCTTCGTTTGTTTGCTTTCATCAGCAGCTTATGCTCTCTCCCTCTCGCTGCCTAACTTAGCTGCTCTCCCTCTCGCTGCCTAACTTAGCTGCTCTCCCGCTTAAGCTCTCTCGCTCTCCATCTCTCTTCCACTCATTCTAAGCCTCCTGGGCAGAGGGCACAGGCATGATTCGGTTCGTCTGTCTGCCTTGTAATGTTTCTTCAACTGACATCTTGACTGTCTTGAACGTATTTACATATCGGCAAGCTCTACCAATCGGCAGCTATATAAGAACAATTAAACAGATAAACAGCATTATTAATCCCACGCATTTGCTGCCCCCAACAATAAGGAATTTTATTTAATTCATAAAATCCAAAATAAACATAAGAAATTGTCTTTAATTAACACATTTCGTCTAGTTCATTCTCAGCGTCAAAGTCCAGCTGTGTATCAGCACGTACGACTATTCAAATTCACATGTAATCCGAACATTTGTGTTGCAAAAGAGAGACGCCAAAACAGACGACTCTGGAAGGCCTGTCTTTGATTTCGTGATACCCCATGGAGTTTGCATTTCATTGATGAGCTGTCACTGCTAAATATAGCTCCAATTTTATAGCCCTTAAATTAATGGATCGTCCGGTGATTTTTCTCACAACTGCTGTCTGGGGAAAATTCCAGTGTGTCGGGTGTCGCCGCTTGGCGTGTGCCATGGGCAATGCACTCTACGTTGACACACGACAAACAAGTGCTATAAAAGCCATAGCGATCGCCACACACATCATACAGTTATCGACAACAGCTAAGAGAAGCCACACACACAGCACAGAGAAACATCCAGACAGCAGTAGCAGCAGTAGCAGCAGCACCCAAAGTCACATCTAAGTGCGCCCTTCAAGGGAACCAGAGAACTAAGGAATCGAAAGGATTTGCCAACACTTTTCGGCAACGTATTTGGCTTAAAGGCGCGTTGGAGTATCATCTCATTGTTGCATCGCATAAACTAAATGCAGGCCAAGGGACTGTGTCGGAGCCAGTAAACAATCTATCAGCCAAGTTGCTGAAGATTCTAGCTTAAGTTTATTTTATGCATATATTTAGCAAAAACATTGCCTAACCCCTAAGTAATTCCAATTCCAAACATGTTTCACGGAGTAAGCGTGGGTAAAACGCTTTAATATTTAAAGCTTTTATTCTGCCTCTAAAATTTTTTATTTATAAGTATTCAAACTCCGATACGATTAATTGTTACTGTTTTATGATGAACATTCATAAGTTGTTTGTGATTAAAGTTTCAAACTAAAACTAAACTAAACGATTTACATATCCTTCTCCCTGCACCAGTGACAAGCTCCTATCGACTCTGGGAGCGAGAGAGGCAGAGAAAAAGAGAGATAGATTTAGAGTGAGAGTGAGAGATAGCCACAGAGTGTGTGACATATTCTAGCACACACTTGACATCATTTGGAAGCACTCACAAAACAACAGCAATGTGTTTGGCATTCATTTGCATTCTCTTTTGCACTTTTCGCTTGTGCATCAGCTTTGGCAGCTGCTCGCCATAGTGTTCTGATTCTAGTGTTTACAGAAATTTTAACGTTTCATTGAATTAATGAAGAACTTTGAATACGAATCGAATTCTCTGCTTCCATGCCAATGGTTCAATAGCCAATTGAATGCATTGAAAAAATGGTTTATATATTTATATTTATAATATATTCATTTATGTATATGTGTTTGCTTAGCAACAGGCACAGTGAACATATTCAATGATTAATCATCCATGAATCATGGTCGCGTGCCACGTACTAAGTTCTGGATTCATTTTAAGTATATTAAATAAAATATTCAGCTATTTAGTTGGCATCCAAGTGAGTCAGCAATTGGAAATTATGCATTAAACGAATATGGATTAAAAAACCATAAGCCCCTGAGGGAATGTCGTTCATAGTCACCTGCTAAATTTAAATACAATATCTAGGTCTGGGCACATACGACATAAGAACTCATTAACAGTTGAAAATTGAATTTTCCCCATCTAAAAGCAACGCCCAATGCGAAACTATAGCCCAAGAAGCCGCCGCATCAGGGGCCCACAGTAAGTGTAAGTCGATAGCTATCTGTCTGTCTCTCTCTCTCGGTAATTTTATGCATTTCCCCCACGAGCCGAGGGCAGAGATATAAAGCTCACTCGCTGGTGGGAAATCTGAACAGAACCCAACTGAAAATGCAATCGATTGTAAGTAGAGGGAGATCATCGCCGCTTCCGCCCAGAGGATAATAATCAAGATATTCCATCCATTACAGGTTATAGTTTATCTCATTTTGATAAGCATCTTACTTTGGTTGAAGTTAAGTCCCTGGGCATACTGAGAGTTCCAGTGGTCTGAGCACGACCACATCTACAGCTGCAACTCCAGTCGCTAGGATACCACAGGATAACTTATTAATTAGCATTCCAGCAGCAGAGATCAATGCCAAATCATCCGAAAAGGTCTCCAGGCTATTGACTGTGCTGAAAGGCTCACCGGCCAGGGATAATCCCATTGCGGATGCTTCTACGCCAACTTCTACTCCTGCAGCCAACGACGAGGACACAACCTTCGATTGTTATTCCATTTACGGCGATGACTGTTTCCTTGTACCCGATTCGATTGGACCCAGACTCAGTGCCAAGCTGCTGAAAATTCTAGCGCAGTCCTAAGCCGCCGATTCTATGTACAATATGTACGATCAAACGATCAATTGTAAATGCACAAATTTGAATGTTATTTTCCAAAATAAACAAAAAAATTATCCAACAAAACGTCAGTGGTTTGCACTTAATAATCTTAGCCCGCTGTTGATTGGCTGTCAATTAACGCCCATGCAAAAGTAGATGGCCAGAAGCACTGCCTGCCTCTCTGTCTGTCTGCCTCTCTGTCTGTCTGCCTCTCTGTCTGGCTGGGAATTTCATCGATTTTTAACGATCACTCAAAGCATCAATATAAAAAGTGTCTGCCGTGCGGCAAATCCAAACAGAACACAACGGAAAATGCAAACGAATGTAAGTACCGACCTATACAAAGGATAGGTGGTATTTGAATTAATAAATGTTTCTATTTTAGATGCTGGCACATTTACTTCTTCTCTGCATCTTTGTATGTTTGGGCATCTATGCGCATCCTGTGACGAATGCAACATCCCCAACACTCCCAGCTAACACCCATTCAGCATCATAAAACTACAGAATCGACAGTGCCAAGGGATTTAAAAAATAATAAAATAAAAACTATTGAAATAAATAAAATTTCGGACAATGGAAAAATCAAATCAGCTGAAAAATCAATCACGCACTCGCCGCTTCTTGAAGGAAGCGCGCAGCAGGATAGCATAAAAAGTGAAACCACAGTTAACCCATCGACACCATTCGCCACAGAATCCAGCACGAAATGTACCACAGAATCCACCACAGAATCACCACCTAATAAATCTCAACAAAATCCAGTTGCCATTGGGCCTAGGTTAAGTGCAACTTTATTGAAAACTCTCACTAAAAAATAAACTGCAAGTCAATTCAACACACTCTCCAAGAAATACACTCTCTAAAAGCATAGCAAATTCCAAGCTTACATAATACATAAAACTATTACAAAATAAATGCAATATTTAATTGCTAGAATTTTATTCTCTCTTTTAATTACACTCTCAATAATTTTGAAACTCACGATCTGAACTCGCTGCGCTCTAACTTGGATAAACGACTCCGTAGCTGCCATGCGGAGCTTCCATATAGATACTCGTATAAAATCCAGCTGCAACTGAGATCAGGTCTCAGTGATCGATTGAAAATGCCGCCGTATGTAAGTATCGAATGGCATTCCGCTAGATTTCAATGGGAATATTAATAACTCTCGTGTATTTAGTTTTGTTTTGTGTTGTTTGCCGCGGTGACCGTCGTCAGTTCGTGCAGCATCCCAAATGCTGAACAAACAAAAACCTTAAATGGAAACCAAGAGCAGACAAAGCTACCAGAAGTCTCTACAGTGGAAACTAGAATTTTGGAACACAAATCCCAGCTGAATGCAGTGGAAGATACCACAATGTTGCGTATGGAAGCAGAAAGTACAACCATTCCAACAGTAAAGACAACAGCCTCTGAAAGGATTGTGCCTTTACCCACACGCTCTGCAACCGCTAGAACTTCCAGCACTTTAAATGCTGAACAAATGAAGACTTCTAATGGCAAAAGTGTAAAAGAAGTCACTACAGAGGATGCTATACCGGCACAGGAAGATCTCCAAACTGCAAACATTTTTACAGTAGAAAAGCTTGTGCCTTTACCCACTCGATCGCCAATTCCTGAGACTATGATGCTCAGCTCCAGCCTCGCAAATACGCAGCAAATGAAGTCTTTCAATGGCGACAATCAAACGACAAAGTCTACAGAAATTGAGCAAGAAAATAGCACACGTTCAGCCATTCCTGATCCTGGCAGTGATATGAATAATCATTCAAACGAGTGTGAGCCACAGCCAAATAGTATTGGAACTCGACTGAGTGCTCAACTGTTAAAAATACTCACAAGATTAGGCTAAGAACACAAAATGTAAATTAGATGTCAATAAAACGCAATGTAGATCATTGCTTATCCGAACGTAATATCCCTAAAAAGTATAGATTTCCCAGAAAAATTCCCCACACCGAGCAGCAGCATCTTGATGACACACAGCATACTGATCTCCCATTACCACTCAAAGTTCCAATCAACAGCAATTACTGTCAATCAGCATCTCACATGATCGTCACATTGGTGGTGCGAGACGGGGGCAATTATTAAATCTAGTCAATAATCATAGCCAATACCGATGTACAGAGTCACAAACAGTAGACACGACTCCACAGATTTCCATTAGCCATTTATCGATCCGCAGAGTAAATGTCGCGGAAAACTCTCCACAATTGCAATGCTATCTATCGACACCGGTTAAACCTGTTTCGTAGTGCTCTATAGATCGCTCTATAGATCGCTTGCAAATAAATAAATATCGTACACGAAATCAGAAATTTCATTCATTCAGTGCATTTTAGCAACGGGAACTAGAATGATCAGAACCACTGCAGTGAGTATTAACTCGTACACCTCTAGACCTCTAGAAAGGAATCAAACCAAAAGAAAAATTATATTATTTCTAGTGTCTGTGCCTGTTCTTATTGTTTATCTGTCTGTTTATTCCACGGAATGATGGCGCCACAAAAGTTTTCTACGAGTTTCAGTGAGTCTTTCCCTTTTTATTATTTATTTTAATTTAATACCACCCAATGTTAATTTCCTTAGCATTCGCGAAAACACTGACAAGGGCGAGCTCAACGGTACATCAACATACAGTGAAAGTGATGCTCGTGCGGAACCCGAACTAATCGTCACAGGGAAACGGACTTCGTCCGTGATTTTGCCTGGCTATGATCCCACCGCCGGTAACTATGTCTACAAGGAGGATGCCACCTATGTGGCGGATGACAGTGGCTACCATGTCCAGTACAACCATAGCATAGAAGCCGTGGATGCTGACACGCGGATAAGTGCAAAAGCGCTCAAAACAACCGTCGGTTGAGGGCGGCGTAAATATCATTAGCATTAGAAAGAATCTGAACTAATTATTATTTATTATCAATTGCAACACCCAGACACCAGTCTGGCTGGAACTAGAACTAGTAGCTGTCCCACGGCACAGGCACATATCGCATGTCACATGGCTGAGGCTGACAAAAAACAAACAGAAACTGTAAAAGAATTGTTGGAATCGGTACAATGAAATCTTTTGCACATTGCGTGTTGAATTATGCATATTATCATGTATGTACATAAACACAACGACTAATATTAATGCGCAAATCACACAGCAATCAAATTTTAGTTTATTGATATTTTAAGAGCTTTACCATTGTGATTTAAAAGGAAAAATAATTGTAGGCGAAACACTCAACAATTTTCTATACGATTGTTTAGTTTGGATGAGCATAATTTTATTTTATTTATTTGGCAGTATTTATGTGAACAATTTCATGAATTTTTCAATTAAAATTGTCCCTGCTCATAAATTAACAATATTGCAGCTCATTTAGTTTGCCTTAATTGTTTTCGTCTTCAAACCTCTTTTTTGTGTCAATTTTATTTATTTTTCCATTTAAATGAACTTTTTAAAGCTGCTGTAAATAGCAGTTTAATAATTTTAGCGTTGCCACTTGATTTCTGTACGAAGTGAAGTTGGTTGCGTCTCACTCCTATGTGAAATGGCAACATTTTTTTCAATAATTTGCCAAAATATTCATTGCATTAAAAGTATAAATCTTTCTTATTTTTCTAACCTTTTAATTAAATTTCTATAGAATTTAAGTTTTTGCTCTGCCCCAGAATTTTAAATATATATTTTATAAGCGAGCTAACCCTTACCTTGTGTGTGAAGTTTCCTTTTGTCTGGTGATGATTGTTGGCTTGCTGTTGCTGCGACTTCTAGTCAACACTTTCCAGTACTTATAAGCAAAAACACTCTTCTGGTAAGTGCCTCAAGTAATGTGTGTGTAAAAATGCTGTAGAAATCTAGCGCCAGAAGAAAAGCTCTATATATATATATATATATCTGCAATGAGAGGAATGATTAAAGGGAATCATTAGTTTAACACGAAACGACAAACGATTAAGTGAGGATAAACAAATTTCAATTTAGACTACAAACAAACGACGGGGAGGAGGAGGCCCCCGGAAAACTCATTAACTGCGAGTGGGCGGCGAAGGGGAGGCGAACGCCTGCTACCTTGTGGGTCAAGTGCGAATTGAGCAAAGTGATTACAAGATCAAGAGACAGACAATAAGAAAGAGAGAGTGAAAGAGAGAGCGATCAAGAGGGAGAGCGAGAGGCGAGACAAGTGGTCAGCATTTTAGGTCAGAGTCGCGTAATTGAGAATGGTGAGCGAATAATATACACTGCATCGGTTATTGAAACTAATTAACTAATCAAGCGTTCCCCGTCTGTGGGTCTCTCTCTCGGGGGGGTTTGGGGGGTTGGGGCCGGACGATAAGACCCCGGCCACGGAATTCAGTCAAAAATCGACGCATCTCTCGATTTCAGCTCAGTTTCGTTTCGGCAATCATTCGGCAAACACACAGAGAACTGAATTAGAATGGAACACGCTCGACTTGGGCTATTGCTGCCGTTGCTCCTGCTGCTGGCAGCCTACACGGTGGCTGGCGCTGCCGTGTCGCATCCTTTTGCCACCAAACTACACCACTGACATCCTGCGGCTGGCCAAGGCGGCCCACATCAAGGCCTACATGGGCGAGGATCAGCCAGAGGCGTGCGATAATTTTTACGAGTTTGCGTGCGGCAATTGGCCGCGTCTGCATCCGGCCCGGGTCCACAAAAAGCGCACCAACTATCTGGAGGAGCTGCAGGAGCTGTACATCCGCAAGAGCGCCGATATGCTGAAGAGTTCGGCGCGCAGTGCCGACAGCAGTGCGGATCGCATCCTTAAGAATTTCTTCAACTCGTGCTGCCTGCAGGCGAATGACACGCGATCCGCTCTGACGGCTGCCCTGCTGCAGGCGACGGACTTTCGCGGCGGCTGGCCAGAGATTCGGGTGCCCTCGTGGTATCAGTACGAGTACGACTGGCTCAAGGTGGTCGCCACACTGAAGCGGCAGCTAGGCGTGGACATATTCATCGGTCTGGATGTGATAGTCGACTACAAGGAGGAGCGTATGCATCGCATTAAGCTGGGCGCCCCCGAGCTGCCACTGGGCCAGCGGCGCCACTATCTGGATGGACGCCATCAGGGCCAGCGGGATCTCTACAGGCGTTCGATTGAGCAAAAACTGAAGTTCTACTTCCCCGAACAGGCCAAGCAATGGCGCAAGGAGGTCGCGGCGCAGGTGCTCAACATTGAGGAGCAGCTGGCCAAGGGCTTGCCCCACAATCCGGCGCTCACACTGGAGCAGACGACACGCCAGCGTACGGCGGCCGATATGAAGTCGGCGTATGGCAGCTATGTGGACGTCAGTCGCTACCTGCAGCTCATCTTCAGCGACACGCTGTATGTGGATATCTACGAGACGCCGGAGGATTATCTGTCCAATCTGGTGGACGTCATACGGGCCACGCCCAAGCTGCATCTGGCCAACTACACCATCTGGCGTACGCTGGACACGCTGGCTGCGGCAAGCGTGCCGCAGTCTGTGCAGCCCGACATCTGGTGCATCAAGCTCACGCAGCGGCATTTCCCCCAGCAGCTGGAGAGCCTGTTCCACCGGAACTACAACAACATGCAGATGATCAACGAACTGCAGTCCACGTGGACGGATATCAAGCGGGTCTTTCGCGAGGATCTGCAGGCATCCGAGCGGCTGCACTGGCTCAGCCAGGAGACGCGACAGAAGGCCATCGGCAAACTGGAGTCGCTGCAGCTGCAGTTTCGGGCGCACGACGATGTCCAGCTGATCCGCAAGTTGCATGGCCTGCAGGTGGAGGCCAAGCGCTTTTATCCGAATCTGCTGGCGGTGCTGCAGTGGGAGACGCAGCGCAAGTTGGCCAAGCTAATGCAGGAGCCAGTGCCCGAGGATCTGGTGGCGCACAAGCTGCCGCACTACGAGCTGAAGAGCAACAAAATTGAGGTGCCCATCACGTTCCTGCAGGCACGCTTCTTCTGGGACCCGGCCTATCCGAATGCCCTCAAATACGGCACTCTGGGCGTGCTGCTTGCCCGCCAAATGCTGCACGGCTTCGATGCGGTGGGCAGGCGCTACGACGGGCATGGCTATCAGAACAATTGGTGGGACGCCACCTCCGAGAGCTCGTTTGCACGACGCGCCCAATGCTTCCAGGAGCAGTACGCCATCTTTGTGCAGTATCGTGAGAAGCCGGTGCAGGACAAGCAGCTGCTGCGTCGCATTGTCGCCGACAACGGGGCCCTGGACATTGCCCATCGGGCCTACACCAAGTGGCTAATGAATTCGGCCGAAACGACGGCCATCTATCAGCGGGAGCGACTGCCCCTGCTGGATCACTCGCACCAGCAGCTCTTCTATCTGGCCTACGCGCAGCTGTACTGCTCCGACTATCCCGAGACTCTGGAGCGGTACGAGGAGCTGCCCGAACAGCTGCGCATCAATGCGGCGCTGTCCAATTCGCAGCAGTTCGCCAATGCCTACAGGCTGCCCCAGCGGCTCCACGCTGAATGCCCGCTTCAAGTGTACCCTTTATTAGAGCGCGAAACATCGTAGTATCCACATATCTATCTATCTATTCCATTCCAACACTCCTAGACAGAGATCACAAAAAAGAGTTTTAAGGTTTAAGCATATTAAAATTAACTAAAAAAATGACCTGGAACCAGGCTAAACTTTTTTTTAAATACATTTTTCTATCACTTTTGCTTTTAATTGTTATAATAAAATTATTAAAAATAAAACCTCTATTGTTTAATTTTTAAAATGAAAATTAAAACAATTATTGTTTAATTTTTAAAATTAAAATTTAAAATTGTTATACAAAAATGTATAATAAAAATAAAAAATAAAAAAGTGACCTGGAACAGGCTAACGTTTTTTTAAAATACATTTTTTTTATTACTTTTGCTTTTAATTGTTATAATAAAAATATTAAAAAATAAAACAATTATTGTTTAATTTTTAAAACAAAAATTAAAAATTGTAATAAAAAATGTATAATATAACATTATTAAACAACAAATTAATTTGTATTATTAAAATCAGAAATTATCACAAATAAAAGCAGAAATATTTCCTTCAAGGATTATGCCAAATAAATAAAAATAGCCAAATACCTGCACTCTGCGCGCTTTTAATTCCCAACCAGTTCTAGCTACAATCTGTGGGGCAAAATTTTTACTACAATTTATAAAATAAAATTAAGACTTTCAATTTGTATTATAAAAGCAGAAATTTCTGATTTAAATAATAATTATTTAAATATTTGAATAAATTTTAATTTTATAAATAATACTAAAAAATGTACAATTTGTACGCTCCCTGCTCGTAAGTGCATACTCACAAAGCTTGTTCTGTAATAGTAAAGCACTTTAGTTTTGCCCCTCTAGTTTTTATTTTACATTCGCTCTCGCGAGAGATAACCCCCGAAATGACCCTCGTCTCTCGGCTATCAGCAGCAGAAGTGTCTCTCTCCTTCTCGGGCGACTCTTTGCTGGCCGTCAGTCGATAGCTTCACAGACAGAGCTCCGGCAGCATGTCGGACTGTTCCTCCCACTGCCACTGCTACACGGGCTGGCTTTTCCTTGGGCTCCTGCTCTTCCTGGAGCTCTGCTGCTGCTGCTCCGCAGCGAGCGATGCAGAAGCAACCTCGAGTGGCGGCGGCAGCTTCCAGCGCATCTACCAAACCGAACAGACAGTGCGTACGGCCAAGGGCAAGGAGATGCATTCGTACATGAATCTCAGTGCCGATCCCTGTACGGATTTCTACGAGTATGCCTGCGGTGGCTGGACAGCGGCAGCCAGCCCCCTCGTGCAGCTGCACCAACGCACAGACGTGGATCTGCTGCGCTTGCTGGAGGAGACGGCCCACAGGGAGGACAGCGGAGTGGCCAGGCAGGCCAAGGAGTTCTACAAGTCCTGCCTGGTGGCCCAGGCACATCAGAGCCAACAGCAGCAGCAATTCCTCAGCGAATTGATCCAGCAGAATGGTGGCTTTCCGGCTGTACCCGGTTCCAATTGGGAGGTGCATCACCACGACTACGACTGGCTGCGGGTCCTTGGGGAGCTGCGGCACCGCTTCGGGCTGGACATACTGATTGGGCTGCGGATCGGCTACAACTATGCGAGTGTCCACGAGAACAGCCTCTATCTGAGCGAGCCGAGCACCTTGATACCCCGCGATCTGTGCACCCACAACCGCCTGGATATACGCGACATGGCCTATGAGCCGCTGGAGCGGCGCGTGGCCTCGGAGCTGATGGCCTGGCTGGCCCTGGGGAATGAGGCAGCCGCCCGCTTGGCCGCTGACATTCTGAGCTTCGAGCACGAGCTATGCGGCGGCATGCTGCAGGACGACTCTTCCGATGCGTCCTGGGATGCCGAACGGCAGCTGTACGCCGGCAACTATACGCGCAAGACCCTGGCGGAGTTCTCCAAGCTCTACGCACTGAATCTGGAGTCGTATGTGACGGCCAGCTATGGCCAGGTGATCTACAAGCCCGTCTACATGGCCGCGCCCAAGTACTACCGCCAGCTGCAGCGCACAGTGGCCGCCCACAATGCCAGCCAAGTGGCCAACTACATCATGTATCGGGCGGTGTCCGCTCTCACCTTTCCCCTGGACGATCGCACCCATTTGAGGCGCAACGAGTGCTTGGGTCGCGTCAAGCGGCACCTGCCCACGGCCCTGGGGGAGCTGTATGCCCGGCAGTTTGCCAGCGAGGATACGCGCAAGGACCTCGAGGCACTCTATGGCCAGCTGCAGGACGCCCTGAAGCAGAGCCTGAGCGCCGATTGGCTGGAGGAGGGCTCGCGGCGTGTGGCACAGCGCAAGCTGTCGGATTTGAAGCTCCGCTTGCCCCACTACGAGCGGCCGCTGGCCTACAAGCTGCAGCTGGAGCGGAACGGCTACTGGTCGAATCTCCGGCAGCTGCTGGCCGCTGTGCAGACACAGCAAATGGGCCGCCTCTTCGAGGAGGAACTGCCCGCGCCCAGTGATCCCGTGGAGGCGTATGAGGCACGGGTGCGCTACCGGCCCGTCCAGCGGCAGATCGACATGGGATGGGGCCTGCTGCAGGCGCCCTTCTACGATCCGCATTACGGGCAGTCGCTGCGCTATGCCACGCTGGGCGTGGCTGTGGCACACCAGATGGCCATGGCCTTCGATGATCCACACTGGTCCGTGGGCCTGCTGGAGCGCGACAATTGGGATGGGCTGACGGCGTGGCGATATCGCGATCGGAGCGAGTGCTTCGGCCGCCAGGTGGAGGAGTATTTGCACGCCAATGCCAGTGCCACGCGGCAGCTGATCGCCGACAGTGCCGCCCTCAATGTGGCCTTTCGGGCCTACCTCACGTGGCTGGGCTTCCAGGAGCCGAACAACGACTTCAATCGCCTGTCCAGGGAGACCCTGCCCGGCCTCAACTACTCCAATACGGCGCTCTTCTTCGTGGCCTACGCCCAGCAGTACTGCAGCCGGCAGGAGAGTCGTCGTGGCTCGTGGTCGTCCTTGGCCAAGGAGCTGCCGCCGTACAGTGCCCGGCAGAAGCACAGTTGGCCACGCATGCAGGTCAACGGTCCGTTGTGGAATCTGGAGGAGTTTGCCCGAGAGTTTCGCTGTCCCATTGGCTCGGCCATGAATCCGGCCACCAAGTGCAACATTTACTAGCGGATAAGTTGAAATTTCATGATCGTTGGGTCACCTGGTTGAGGGCTAGTGGAAACATGATAATAAACTCAAGAATTGTCTCGATCAAAGTTCAGGTTTCACTAGAAATATTCTGCAGTTTAATTGTGGGAGGATTTGGTTATATCGGAATATCGATATCTTTTTGGGGAATTAATCGTTTCCAAATCGAATCGCTCGTAGGGAATTGGCAGCATTCCAGGCATGCCTTAAAAAGAACGTAAGGCAGAGTCTTTCAAAGATATTTGGTTGCCAATTTTGTGTCTTTACAAGATAAAATTTTCAATTCGAATTTTAAACACAAAACTAAAACAAAAAAATAATCGATTTTATCAAAATTAATCGATGTTTTTTTCGATTTTGTTCCCAATCAATCTCTAAAAAACTTCTCGAAAAAAATGTGAAATTTATCCTCGTTCTACAATCACTAGTTTCCCCCAGTGTAAGCAACTTATGAGGAAATACAAAAATGGTAGGGAAGCAGGCAAACACAGACAGAACACGATCGGATTTGTGTTGTTTTTCTGGCACTGCCAGGTTCTCTGGCTTGCCGTCGGGCAAGGCTTTGTCTTTGTTTACTTCTCTCCCAGTGCCAAAGCCAAAGCCAGAGCCAAAGCCAGAGCTAAAGCGCGATAACCCCTCAGCAACTGAGGCGTCAAACTTGACCCAAAAATCGACCAAGTTCATGAGCAAGCAACAACAGCAGCGGACGGACTCCGGAGCACTGCTTATCGCCCACTTAGACGCTCAGTCTACTTTTCAACGCCAAGATGAAAGCTACCAGAAGTGCTCTGTGGAATTTGCTACTCCTGCTGCTGCTCCTCATCCACGTAGATGCTGTGCAGCGGCACAATGGCATGAACCGCATGCCACAGCAGCAGCAGCAGCAGTCGCCCATGTACGGTGGATTCCAGCAGCAACAGCAGCACCAGCAGCACCAGCAGATTCCTCCCCATCCGGATAGTCGCGAGGAGTTCAAGGTGCGCCAACTGATGAGCCTGGAGATGTACAAGTACATGAACTTCACTGCCGATCCGTGTGTGGATTTCTTTGAGTTTGCCTGCGGCCACTGGGGCGGTTACCACAAGCGCCAGCAGCGTCAAGGCGCTGCCGGCGGAGCGCCCCTCTCCACTGCCCAGCAGCTGGTGGAGGGTAAGATTGTGGATCAGCTGCAGCAGCTGCTGACGGCCCCGCTGCCGCCGCAGCACCATCCTGCCAACCAGTATAGTGGCGCCACAGCGGCCAATGTGCGGAAGGTGCGCTCCTTCTACGATTCGTGTGTGGCCGTCGAGGCGAATGCGGGCGAGCGACGCCGCTTCCTCATGAAGATCCTCAAGGACAACGGGGGACTGCGCAATGTGCCCAACTCCAACTGGCAGCACAATCGCCACTGGCTGCAGACGCTGGCCGAGCTGCGGCGCAACTACGGACTGGACATACTGTTGGGCCTGGAGATCGATCTCAATCTGCAGCAGCTGGGCGGCAACAGCATCTACCTGGGCGAGCCACGGATGACCATCATACCGGAGGAGCACTGCAATGCCGTCGCCACCAAGGGCGCCCATGTGCGGGATCAGATCTACGAACAGATACAACAGCAGGTGGCCGACAATCTGAGGGATTGGCTGGGCATGGAGACGGGCGAATCGGCGCGCATTGCCGGCGACATTATCCGCTTTGAGTTCGAGCTGTGCAAGCACATGCGCGAGCAGCAGCAGCTGCAGGAGGAGCCCTCCGGCCCTGGCCCTGGCTTGGTGGCGGCCAACGGCAACGCCTTTGGGGCACGTTCGCGCATCGGACAGGATCGCTTGCACCGCCAGAAGGCCAGCGGCATCACGCTCACGGATCTCACCACCGAAATGGGCGGCTTCTTCGACTTTAAGCTGTACGTGGAGGTGATTCTCGAGAGCCTCTACACGAGCGCCGTCTATCTGCGGTCGCCGGACTACGTCAAGCATCTGGTGCGCACGGCCAGGGCCAACAATCGCTACACGATTGCCGGCTACATCATGTACGTGGCACTGAATGAGCTAAACCAGCCGCCCGAGGAGCATCCGTCGCGTCGCGCCCGCCAGTGTGTGCAGGTGATGCAGCGCCTGTTCCCGCAGGTCCTCGGCGAGATGTATCAGCGGCAGGTGCAGCGTGACGATGCCAAGGACGATCTGCAGCAGGTGTTCAGTGACCTGGTGAAGGCCTTCGAGCAGCAGCTGCGTGTCGAGTGGCTGGACGAGAACGATCGGCGTGCGGCCAGGGCCAGATTGGCCCAATATCACACGCTGCTGCCGGACTACCAGAATCTGGATCTCTCGGAGCTGCAGTTCCAGAAGTCCGACGACTATTGGCACAAGCTGGAGGTGGCGCTGCGCTTCCGGGCCCGCCAGCAGCTGAATAGCCTGCGCGGCAATGACTTTGGCCAGGATGCGGACAGCCTGGTCGATGGTTTCGAGGTGCGTGCCGCTCTGGTGGCCCGCCAACAGGCGGTGCTCGTGGGCTGGGGTCTGCTGCAGTCGCCATACTACAACTACCATTATCCCCGTGCGCTCAAGTATGCGCTGCTGGGCCAGCGGCTGGCCACGGCCCTCGTGGAGGCCTTCGATGACGAGGGCTGGAACCGAAATCCGCAGGCCACGTCCCCCTGGAACGAGCTGACAATGTCCGGCTATCGGAACGTCACGGAGTGCCAGCGGGCCCAGTACAGCAACTATCTGTACGATCAGCCCGCGGAGTTCCGCAATGCCACACGGCTCAGGGAGATTATGGCCGAGAGCAGCGGCCTGAATGTCGCCTTCAATGCGTATCTCGCCTGGCTGGAGCAGCAGGACAACAAGCCACGGCCCGTGCTCTACAAGGAGACCCTGCCGGAGCTCAACTTTACCAATACGCAGCTGTTTTTCCTGTACTTTGCCCAGACCCGCTGCTGGGCGAGAGCCAACCAGGAGGCCGTGCCCTTCGTCGATTCCATGCCCCTCATGCAGCACACGGCCGAGCGCTGGGATGTCAATGGGCCGCTAAGCAATTCCGTGGAATTTGGACGCGAATTCGGCTGTGCTCTGGGCACACAAATGAACAGCGGGGACAAGTGTTTGGTGTACTGAGACGTAGCGTAAAATATAGTTAAATATTAAATTGAAAAGTAAGTCGAGGGGTTATTAAGATTTGGGGAGGGATTAGCTGGAGTCTGGGGGTGCCTCCAAGGTTGCACTGCAAACCCAAATCGGCTGGGAACGTGTACGAGTGTGTATCAATGGGTTTTGGCTTTCAATGGGTTTCTGCTGTGTGCAGTTTTCTGTGTCAATCGAATCACTTGAGCGTGGAGGAGACAACCAACCCTACCCCACCTCTTCAGACGAGACGTGGCCTGGACATTGCCACTCGAGCACGCAGCTGCATGCCGTAGGCCGTAAGCCGTAAGCCGTAAGCGATAGGTGCCTGCTACTCGTCCGTTGCATGTGGCTAGATGGGTAATACACTCGACCCTGAACCACTAATCGATCGACATGGAGTGGGGCGCATTGGGATTTTGTCTTATGCCGCACGCATTTCCGCTTAATTTAAGACGCGACGGAGGCTTACCTGCAACGACACAAGAAAAATGGAAAATATATAAGTAAAAATGTTGTACCATATGGAAATTATACGACTAGAAGATAACCCTTTTACTCGGGTAAGAATAGCTACAAATTGTGACAAAGAGAAGTCCCACATGGCACGGATTCTGTTCTTTCACTGGAATTTTACCCATATTTTTTAATAATTAAAAATAATTAAAATTTAAGCCAAAAACTATTTTTTCTGTTTTGTTCCTATAATATTGGAATTTTTCCCATTTATATTTATTTAAGCAACAAATGTTCTGTTTTAATTTGTATAAGTGTTAAAAACTATTGAAAATTTTGCATATTAAACTTTTGACGAATAATAAATATTTAAAAAATATTAAAAACTTAAACTTTGTGCTGATATATGTATATTCAGGAATATTCTCTTATACATATGCTCCAGAATCCAGGAGAATTTATACGGAGAGAATTAATGTAAAATTTACATATGTATTTATGTATGTATGTCTGTTCCCTACATTTCTAAAAATCAAGCATACCCCTCATGTTGCAATAAATACACAACTAAAGGGTATGCAAAATATAAACAAAATGTGAGTTCTCCGAGTCACAGCCGCCCCCCCCCCCCACCCCTCTCCAGCGACACTGATTGCAAATGGAACGGAAGTGCCAGTCCCCTCCCCACCGCCCATTGCCAACTGTAAAATTATTGTTTCAACGGCGGCTTGATCATCAATTACAGTGTGGCCTACGTATAATGAAAACGGATAATAATCACTTGGAAGTGTCATGGGATAAAAACAATACAAAAGATGGTCGGTCCCCTTCGCTCGTTAATGAATGTGTGTTTCGGGGGGCGGGGTTAGGCAGAGGGAAGTTAGGGTAAGGTAAGGTTTAGTTTTATAAGCACTTAAGAGAGACAAACGAAAAAAAAAGAGAAATACTCTGCATAAATTATAACAAATGCCAGCCAAATGCCAAAGAGACAGACAGACAGACAGAGTTACCGAGTAGTGCTGTGCCGCCTGATGGACCCATCATCATTTGCGGTGGCTCCCACACACACACAAACACACACACATACACAATAAATGGTGCATGGAGTTCGCACCACATGGCAATAAAAATGATGCGGAATTCCAGTCAAACACTTGCGTCTGCGTCTCCCTCTTTCTTTCTTTCTTACTTTTTCCTCTTTTGTACCTTTTAACTATCACCGCTTCCCCCATAATTACCAGACTCCACGCGGACACCGACCGCGACTGCGACTGCCACACCAGCAACAACAAAAGACATCCAAATCGATGTCGTGGCAAAGTCGTTGGACTAATCAGCAGAGAGCGAGAGAAAAACGGAAGCAACGAGAAAGTCAATAACATTCATTATAAGATAATCCATAAAACGATTAAGTGTGCAGGGCAGGGGGGGGACCCAGAACAGAAGAAAGGAAAACACCCACGCGACTGCTACCACTTGTAAGCGGATTCTGAGAAGAGGCTTAGGCTCAATAAAGTATTATAAGGGAGATAGGGCCTATATGGACAGCCTTTGGCCTCTGTGTGCAACATTTCTTATGTAACTGGTGCATTTCCACAGCCCAAAACGAATGCAAATCTCACCTTAAAAATGCATTCCAATAAAAACTAAAAAAAAAGCTATAAATTTGACAAAAGACACGAAAATGCAACAAGCCGACAGACAAACGAGAGACGATGAACAGAGGAGACGGCAGACCCAGAAATAAACTCCGCGCACGAAGCGAATTGATTAATCAACTTAACAAAGTCCCCAATAAATCAGAGAGGGAAGGGAAGGCCAATGGGCATAAGTATTTAAACAAGAAGACAGCAGAGCAAAGCGAGACAGAGACCCTACAGGCAAATGACCCAGTTTTCTATCTATGTATCTATTCATTTGTCTGTCTGTTTGTCTTTGGAGTGGCATTAACAGTGAGTGAGATAAAGAGAACGTGGCACCAGGGGCGGCACAGTTCTCCTCTGAAAAAAACTGATTCCAATATTTCATTCACACATTTTTAACCCAAATTCGAAAATGTCTTTACATTAGTTTCAGGAAAAAACAAACAGCGCGCCGACTAACAACTAAGTGCTGCTCCTCTACACATGTCGAACAGCATTCCAAACAAAATTGATCTTGAATGTGGTAGTGGCAGTCTATTCTTTCTCATGGCATCGATCGATGAATGGTTAGCAGGTGTGGTGCTGCGTGCGGTGCATGCACCGCACTGATGAGGAAATTCTTCTGTGGTTTCTTTGCCAGACTCCACTCCATTTGGGAGAGATATATAGCTCATATATCATACAAATCTGTTGGCAAACACACACAAGCACACTTTGGTAACTCAAAACTGTTTACACTCCCCACAACAGAACCCAAGATGACAGACGGACAGACAGACAGACCAGTGAAGAAACGAGACGCCAGCAAAAGCTTGAGAGGTACACACCACTCGACACATATTGCCTCAGCCTCAGCCCCCCAGCCCCCAGCCCCCAGTCCCAGCAACAGTCACAGCCTCAGTGCTATAATTATTATTATATTGTGACTCTCTGTTTTGTCGCAAAACTTCGCATGTGGCATGTGGGCGATGCCTCTCGTATACTGCGCTGGCTGGCTGGTCATATATGGCCTCCATTTATCCGCCGGGTTATAAATACTTTACATACGGCTTTGGCTTTGGTTTTGGCTTTGGCAAGCCATAAAGTAATAAAGTAATTGAATTTCTGGGCTCTGTGTCTGGTCACAAAGGTGTGTGCCACATATATGGATTTGTTGATTCAGCCATTTCTATTGAGAATTCGAATGCACTACAAATGATTTGCAAAGTGGAGAACTCTGGGGACTTCGAACGCTATAAATAATTATCTATGTGCGCTACGTGTTCCAATTAGCCAAAGATGCTACCAGTTGGGGGGTTGCTATATTGCTCGACCGAAACTAAAACTAAAAATTCAATAAATACAAGGGGCGCTTTTATCCATAGATTTTTTGGGGTTGCCACAAAACTTAATATGCAGCAAGTGCCCCGCGTGGATGGTACTATCCCTCTACTTCCGCCAGCTGCCAGAATAGTATCTAGAAATTCGCCATAGAGTGGGGCGAGTCAGTTCCATGCCGCTTGGGGCGGGGGGGAACGCACAAATAGCGTGTCAAGGAAACGGTGGCAGAAACAGCTGAGTGGCAGGAAAGAGAGCAAACGGCAACGGCTCTTACGCTCACGGCAATCGATTTTTCGCACAACACACCAACACACACAAAAAAAAAAATGAACGAACCCAAACTTGTGGATACATTTTGTGTGGCTGCAAAATAAACTTTACCTGGGATAAATGATATGTATAGCGGGGGGGGCGGGAACTCTCCAAATTTATCCCCGTATCCAATGAATCAATTGTTTTAGCGCTAGATAAATCACCAAAAATTAAACGAGTATTCGTAGCCGAGTGTGTTGTGGATATATAGCCACTTCGTCTCTCAATTTTTTATGCACTTTGTTCGTACAAACGGAATTATTCTTTATGCACAAAAACAGAACAGACAAAATGGAAAATCACTTTTGTGGTTTAAATACAATTTCCACATGGATTTTTCACATAAAAATCATTTCGAAATGCACTTCTTTTACGCACCAAATGGAAACGCAATACACACCATCCAGAGAGAGTGAGTCCCGTAACAGCGAGCGAGAGAGATGGGTCTTTTGGGGGGGGGTTGGGCAGGCGGCTGGAAGGGTGAATGTGTGAATGGATGGATTGGGTGTGGTGAATTCCTTTCACGAAAAGCGCGGCCTGCCTGCTTCTATCGATTTGGCAATTTGGATGCGTGAAAAGGTGCACAACACAAACGTGGGGGGGTCAAACTTTAGTTTATATCATAAACTAACGGATTTACGGCACTTATAACTGCCAAAGAATACGCGTTTATATAAATTTCCAGTGCGGCAAACACACACACACGATAAGGCCAGGGGCCGCACGGAACGCACACCACACGAGTGTGATTCCGATTCCGATTCCACGAGCGAGGCGAGGCAAGGCGAGCAACGAGAAACCACGTCCGACCGTCTATGTGTGGCGCTGCTGTGTAACTCTTGTGTGGGGCGCCGTGCGCTCTTGGGCCATGCCACTCACTCCGCCCGCTATGCTGGCGCTGCCAGAGCATTGGCAGAGGCAGCGACTGCGCAGCTAACAAGCGACTGCGTCCCCCCTCCGGTCACCCCACAGACAGTGGGAGAAGCGTCTTCCAGGCGCATGGATTGACCAACATAAATCAGACCAAAAAAGAACCAACAAGTCTTTGGACTGCTGCAGTACCCTAACAATTGGTGGATTGTAGGGAGTTATTCTAATTCAGTAGATATAGATTATAATTATAATCATTTATAAGTTGAAATTTTCTTACTCAAATTGGAATACACCCTCTAAACGAGTTCGTTCCTTATCTATGTCGCATAATGTACGACCAACCCGTACTACCCATTAAGTGTAGTGTATAGTGAACAATATTTGGAGAGCGGCAGAGCAGGAGAGCGCGAAACTGCGATTGCAAAGAGAGTG